TTTGCTCAATCTGAGAGCCTCTGGGTAAATGTGCTACTCGACACTTTGCATTTGGCGTCCTGGTTTTTAATTATTTGGGGACGTTCAACGCCAACGGAGTTCTGTTTTCCATCCTGCTTCTGTGGAGCCGCAGAGATGAGCCAAACCCCTCCCTCCACTGCAGGGGCGGCGTTAGGCCCGGCTACTTGGGCTGAAGCCCCGAATGTTTTATGAAAAGCCCCGGATCTAATTCACGGAAGTAACATGCAGTACCAAAGTCCAACAGAGAGGGAGCAGCTGGCAGTAGTTTGTATACAGCCTGCCTGAGCCTCCACCACTGAAGAAGAAGCCCTTCAGCAGCCGGCTTCTTCTACACTCTCTGCCTGAAACGCATGAGTGAAGATGGACATAAGGACGTTTTTTAGACCAAAAGTACGGCGACAGAACCCCAGCTTTGATGAGACTGGTGCTGACTCAGGTTTGTGAGTCTTATTTGAAAATATTTGTTGTGCTGCTGGTTTGCCTAAAGTTAGCTTATCAGGTAACGTTGTTGGAGAAAGAAAGGGAATATTTACTATCATCTCACACTAAACACTAACAGGAACAATACTCTGCCCTGAAAATGCTGAATATGTAGCTTCAGATTAAACATTATGTGGTACAAAACATATATGATGTTGACTAGTGCGTGTCACGTGTGTGTGTGTGTGTGTGTGTGTTAAGCCCCAGATCTTCTTCAGTCCTAAATCCACCCCTGCTCCCCTGTGCAATGGGAAACATCTATGGATAGCCGGAGTGGCCAAATGACCTCAAACGTATTGTAAGGGTTTGAATAGTAAACTATAGGGTAAATGTTTTATTTTGAAGGCGAGTTCAACGGGTGAGAAATGTTCCCGTTCTGTTTTTTTCCGCTCTGGTTAGCTATGCTAGTAAATCTCTAGTTTGTAAGGCGTGGGTTACGGCGACAGTAGCCTGAAAATAATACTGATAGAAGAGCAACCAGAGACTCTGAGTCATTCCAGTATCATCGCTGATATGAGCCAATCCTGTTAGACTGCAGCCATGTTTGTCCTGATAACTAATAACTCCACGGTGCATGACCCATGTGACCTTCAGTAGATGCAATGACATCATCATGAATGTAGCTTAACATGATAGATTTATTTTTCTCTGGACAAGAAATAGACGATATGCCCCCCCCCCCCTAGATGAAATTAAAATAATTTTACATTATTTATAAATATATAATTAAAAAGTGCCTGTGCGTGCGTGCGTGCGTGCGTGCGTGCGTGTGTGTGTGTGTGTGTGTGTGTGCGCTGCTACTTTAGTTCTGCTTCAGACATCTAACTCTAGTTATGTCCATTCCAGGGGCTGCATCCTTCTAGGACTGCACCCACGAGAACCAGTGAGACCGGGTCTTTACAAGGATGCTGCCCCTGTTTGGACACAGCTGAGCTTTAGTTTGACCTTTGACTTGACCTTCTCTTTCCTGCTGGTCCTTTCTCCCTAAAGGTAAAATGTCTGACATGAAGTCCACGTGGTCCCCGGGGCCCATCGCACAGAGTCAAGCGTCTCTGTCCCACGAGCTGTGGAAGGTCCCTCAGGGCCCACGCAGCACCACAGCCCCATCCCGGCCCCCGCCAGGCCTCACCAACACCAACAAATCATCATCCACTTGGGGGGGCAGCTCACTGGGCCTGAGCCAGGGCTGGAGCGGTTCCTACTCCTCTGGTGAGGATTCACTCGGACTCTACTGGCGTGGTCTGTGTCAGGGACAACAGGGCGGCCATGTTTGGGGGGGGGGTTACCAACAGCTTCATGTTTAGGGGGGATTCGTCCCCCTCAGCTCTCACGCTGATTAGTAGCCAGGGCCTGGTTCTGGTCCGGATTGTGGTTTCATCACAACACTAGGTCTTTTTCTCATGCTGCCGTGAAGGGGAGTCATATTCAAACGTGTTCATCAGCGATGTTTATGACTTCAGCCGGAAACAGCGACTGTGAAACTAACTCAGAGATTTAAACCCGTTCTGGAGTCGCTGCCATCTGTCGATGACAACACCGGGTTTCAGAGGCAGAAGCAGAGAAGGCCGGTTCTGGTTCTGTTCCACCCTGTTTACGGGAAAGTAACCAAACGTGAAAGCCGCCGAGCTTCACGTTTCGGCCACAGAACATCCTCCTGGGGACCAAGTCTATATGGCTGTGGGATTTTCACAGACGCAGCAGTGCTGAGCTGAACCCACACGTCTACAACAATCAGAGCGCCTCTCGCCTTCCCTCCGATGCTTTTCACTTCCGTCACTCACACGGGACTGAGGGTTGTAGGTGTGACGCTGAGCACAGGTGCAGCTCAACGCCGGGCCACACCCTGTTAAACGGACCGTGTGAGGTTTACCAGCTCTGTGAGAGCACCCCGACCTGGGTTTGACCTGAAACGTTAAACAAAGTGTCACAACAGCCTTTAGAGTGATGCAATTCTGAGTTGACCTTAAAAAACACGAGTTTTAGCAGCATCAGCGTGCTGCTCTGTCCTCGGGGAGTTCCATTTTAAACCCAACTGAAGTTTTGTTCTCTCCTAATGAGACACTTGTTTATTAACTGACAGTTTGTGCGGCTGGTTCTGTTGCAGAGGGAACCACGTGGAGCACCGACAGCTCCAACAGAACCAGCAGCTGGCTGGTGCTGAGGAATCTCACCCCTCAGGTAAGTACCGGAGCAGCTAACTCTGCTCTGCTCGTGTTCCTAACAGCTGCCGTTTGTGTTAAATCCACGTCTCCGTGTTTTGTCAGATCGACGGCTCGACTCTGCGGACCCTGTGCATGCAGCACGGCCCCCTGATCACATTCCATCTCAACCTGACTCAGGGGAACGCCGTGGTGCGCTACAGCTCCAGGGACGAGGCTGCCAAGGCCCAGAAGTCCCTGCACATGTGAGCTGCAGCCAGGCCTTAGAAACAACAGACACGAGCAAATGAGGAAACTTTACTGGAGCTGTGTGCTTCCTAACTTCAGAGCTGAGGATTCTGCTTTTGTCTGCGGACAGTCACGTGTAGGAGCAGGGAAGTCACGCTGCAGTCAGCTGCACTTTCATATGAGCGTTCATCCTGCCAGCTTCTTTTTTTATAAAACCCCCAGCTGGTTGTCAGGGAAACATAATAGGCGTGGCCCGCATCTTATTAACAGCAACAGGAAACGTGGTTGGGTTGGTGGCAGGTTGTGAGCAGCACTCGTGGTTTTTACAGTGGCTGGTATTTCTGAGATGGGTCCAAATGTTCTCATTAGAAATGTTTAGGACGTTCTTCTAAAAGCTTCTTCTCTGCTTGGTTTTTGTTGGTCAGAGTGGGAAATGTGAGGCGACTTTGAGAAGGCCAAAGAATGAATTTGAGACTAAGTGAAAGCTGTTTTAAATTTGTTTTAAAAGGAGGCAAACGTTACCGGTGGCACTATCGAGATGTTGTTTATCTTAAAAACGAGTTATTTTCCTCGGCCTGAATTTATACCTGGAAATAAAACACTTTGTTTTAGTGGAACTTTGCCCTCACTAGGGATGGGTACCTTTGACATTTGAATCGATCCGGTACTAATTCCCGGTACCTACGAATCGATAGCGGTACTTAACGGTACCAATTTTCGATACTTTTGAGTGTTTATTATTTTAATTCTCTTTTATAATTAAATATATATTTTTCTCAATATATAAAAATATTTGATAAATATCACGATAAATAACATACAACTGTTTGTATTTTAACATCGTCCTTGTAGTTTTATAAGCTGATAATTAAACTGAAGCAAACATCTTTACTGTGAACTAAATTTACTGTGTATCTTCATTCCTTTTGCCGTCTTTTTTCAATTGATTTTTCCTACTGGGAAGTTAGAATTTCCGAGGAGAAAGCGAACGCACCACTAGCTGATAACAATGGTGGCATAGGAAGCTAACATAACAAGCTAACGTTATCTTAAACAGTTTATTTAACTGCTGGAGCAGATTAAAACGATGATGCCTCACACTTAGATCGTTGTCACTGGTTTCATCTTCACCCAATCACCCGTCACATTTAGTAAAGTGAAGCCAAACTTTAGAGCGCGTTCATGTTCTTCTAGTCGGAAATTCGGAGTTCCGAGGAGAAAGCGAACGCACCATTAGCAAAACGGAAGCTAACAAATCAAGCTAACGTTATCTTACATTATATTTACCTACCGGAGCAGATTAAGATGAGGATGTCTCACTTAGATCGTTGTCGCTGGTTTCATCATCACCCAGTTACCCATCACATTTAGTGAAGTGGACCCAAGCTTTAGCGTGCGTTCTTTCTACCATGCTGCTCTGTTTACAACTTGCTCGCAGCGACCGACGACGTAACGCTCTTGCGCATGCGCAGCTGTCTAGGCAAGTTCTCGTTATGATGGACGGGTACCGAAACGAGGCACCGTTTGAAATGACGTGAATCGGTGCTCGGTCGGTACCTTAAAAAGTACCGAATTCGGTACCCATCCCTAGCCCCTCACCCTCTACGACAAAACGTGCCTACGGCAGCGTCTTAGGCCAGTCACAGTGTCGGCTACGTTAGCCGCGGGGTTAAGGCGTGGCAAAGAGGGAAAAGTTACTGCTGAGACCGGGATGTGAATCTGCTCACTAACCACTACACCACCGAGTCACGGCACTCGTCGCCTTAGCAGCATCTCCTCAGCTGGCCAGGGCAGGCGGGTTTCAGAACCCAGACCAGATTCAGGGGAGGAGCAGAGCCTGATGTTGGGAGGAGAAAGACGACGTTACGTACAACTTTTACGTTTTCAGGAATTTCAAAGTAAAATTGCAGTGCAGCCAAAAGCGGGTTTAGGGGTATTTGTCATGAGGAAAGAACAAAAACACGCTAAAAAGCTTTAAAAGGCGGATTTTCCATGATCCAGCCCTTTCAAGACTGGAATGCAACAGCTGAAGAGATTTGTTTGTAATGGTCACGTTCCCCATGAAGAAAACGTGTCGTTATCAAAAAGATGATGAACAAAAAGGATGGTTCACGTAACGTTTGACTCTGTGATTTTGTCTTTGTCCTGTGAAGGTGCGTGCTTGGGAACACCACCATCCTGGCAGAGTTCGCCGGGGAGGAGGACATCAACCGCTTCTTTGCACAAGGCCAGTCGCTGGGCGCCAACACCACAAGCTGGCACGCCAACCCGGGAACCAATCAGAACCGGATGGGTGGGGCAACCCAGTCCCACTCGGTCGGCCAGTGGAGCAGCGGTGGCGGCGGCGGCGGCGGCGGAGGGAAGACCAGCGGTAATGATCTGCTGTGGGGCGGGGTGCCCCAGTACTCCAGTCTGTGGGGACCGCCCACCGGAGAGGACGCACGTGTGATCGGGAGCCCCACCCCCATCAACACCCTGCTGCCTGGAGATCTGCTGAGTGGGGAGTCCATGTAGGACAACGCCACGGTACACTAACCCACCACCACCACCGCGGGGGCCAAACCTCAGGCGGAGGACCAGAGAAAATATTCCAAATAAAAAAACAAGGTTACAATGAGCAGAACCCAAGCCAATCATGTGGCGATAATCAGTATCGAGCCAGAACAGGAACTGTGAACGGTAATCCGGAATGCTGGCGGTCCGAACACAGACTGGACCCAGCTCTCCTGCTTTACGCCCATCCTCGTTACGTCTCTTTGTCTCCCTGTAGTATTGTTTTGGAAAGGCATCACACGAGGAAACGGAACCCTTTAGTTTACCGTTCGTGTTCCCGTTCGGCGTTTTCAAAAGAAGCAATCAAAGCTGCCGTCTGAGACTTCACCGTCAAACGAGCAAATACACGAGATCATCCCAAAACAACACTTAAAGCAACCATTCCCGGCAGGTCCGAGGCCAGCGACGTTCAGAGACCTTTACTGCTCTCGTTTGTTTGTCTCTCAGCACTAACGTTGGCCTTAAGTGCTCTCTGGCCCAGCTCCTTCCCAAGCCCTCCATGATTTCTCTTCATTTGATTCCGTTTGTGTTCTACCTGAAGAAATCGCTGAAATCTTGCACAGTTCACCTCTGAGCCCACCAGTGGTACCGGCTCCGTCACCGGGCAGGAAGGAGGCCTGGCCACACGACCGGCACTACCAATCATCTCAAACCGTCTCACGGGGGTTGACACGGCTGTTGACTTCTTACGTGTGAATTCCTGCGAGGTTTTGCTTTGTTTTGATTTCCTAATTTATCCGACAAATGTGAGCCGAGGAGATTGGCGGCGGGCCTCGCTGCGAGCGTTTCCTCGTTTATCTGACGGAATCGAATCGCCGGATCCTTCTGGTCACCTTAAGCCTGGACGTCAGTCGCTTACTGGTGCTCTTTTGAATTTTTTTACTGGGTTACGACGTCGCCACGGTCAGCCGACCCTCGGAGGAGGAAAACGACTCCGTCTTACTTTGATGCGACGGTCACATTGTGCAATATATGCCATTGACTTTTCTTCCGTCCTCACTCCATCCTAACTGGTTTTTGTTGTTGTTGCTTATTTAAGCAAAAGACTTCTTAAAGAAAAACACAACCCCTCCCCTTTATTTCTTCTAAAACTCTGATTCCTCCCAGGCCTCCGGTTCCACTGCAACTGTTGGGAAAACTCTGCAAAGAGGAAGAAGCGGCTGTGCATGCAGCAAGCTGCACTCACTAAAGGGACTCTGGGTACAACGACGCACACTTCCTTCCTCTCTGCGTGCCACAGCCACACCCAGCAGGGACTGAAACCACGGTGAGAACGGACGGCTCTGAGCGCCTGGCACAAAACCAAATAAGAAGGGGTTCCTCCTCATGCAGTAGACCTACGAGTGTTCCTTGTGTTTGGTACGGAGAAGACTGGGACTTTTATACGTTTAATGGGTTTCATCTTAGCACTTATGAGGAGCCAGTGGCTTCAACTGCAATCCAGCGAGTCGAAAGACGAGAAGTCCTGCTGTCCGACGTACTGTATGTGTCGGGAGCGGGGCGAAGGGAACCGACTGAAATGTTCCGTCGGACTTTTGGGGGGAAAAAATTCCCGCAGTCGTTTTTTTTCCCCCATCTTTGAATTTTATCAACGTGAATATCACTGTTATTCCAAAATCATTAGCCTCGATCTGTTGTGAGGCTTGCAACGTCAGCGGGCTCCGACACCCGGTCAGGCGGGAGCGATGGGGGAGGGGGGAGTGTCCACTGAGTGCCTCTTTGCTGTGGTCCTCCTGGTGTCCAGCGGCAGCCCCACAGTGCAGAACCTCCTCCTGGGCTCCACTTGATCTTCCCTCCTCCTGGCACTGGCCAATCACGTCTCTGACCACGGCGGGGAGGGGTGCTGTCCCCCCCCCCAGCTCTCAGTTCTCTTGACACAAAGATCACTTTAGCTGAAGGTTGTTCTAGTCGTATTTCTGGAGTTTTTGCCAGTGTACTTTGTATTCTCTGGAGCTCACGTACCTGTTTTATGTCCCCGTCTCCGTGCGGCGGTCCACCAGAGCCCGGCTGCCGAACGAGCCCCTCACTGTTCATATGCAGAAACACTTTGGTCATAGGTGCCTCTGTACGCTCATTCTGTGTATTGAATGCAAGACGAGGATCAATACTACAGACCGTTGTTGATTGTTTTGACTGCTCGTGTTTTTGTGTTCGACAGTATTCGGTAGTACTTCCAGGTAGGATCTCGAGACGTGTGAAGAAACAAAGAAGCTGTCTCAGATTTGGGGATGTGGGTGTTTGTCGCTGCGAGCTGCTCCACCCGCGCCCTCTCACCCTCTGCCTGGCTGCTACACTGTAACCCCCCCCTCCTCCGCCACACCCAGTGCCTCCCCCTCCCCCCTTCTCCCTCCCCAGGCCCTCACGCACATTTCTATGCAAAAACAAAACAAAAATTAAAAGAAGAGAAGTTGGGGCCCTTTACAGCGCACTAAACCCAACTGTCCTCCCTGTTCTCCTGTCAGCACTCCAAACCGGCCACGCCAACCGTAAAGTCGAAGGTCGGCCATTTGCCGTCTCTCTGTGCTGAAGACGCCTGTGTCCAGCTCACACTCAGGGTGGGGGGGTTGATGGCGGCACGTACGGGATGCAGCTCTCATTTTGGACCCACAAATAACAGAGCTCATGCCTGAAAACCGAATCCTCATTGGAAGAAGCGGCTGGTAGTCTCCGGACTCTTCTGGGTGAGTGGAGGCGTGTTGTGCCAGTGAGAACGCTCGCTTCGCCTGTCGGGGGAGATTTTAGCAGAGGGTGCCGACGGTGGGGGGGATCAACCCAAGGAGCGGCAGCGTCACACCCCTCCGTGACTGAGACGTTGTGTGTTGTGTGTTTTTGTTTGATTTGGTGGGGAACGCCCCGAGCTAAGGAGAAAATCTTGGGGGTTCCGGTTTGCTACAGTGCACAGTCAATGATGGGTAATCCCGGGTACATATTTTTTTAAAACCAAAAATGAAATTGCATTTTAACGTCATTTTTATGAAGTTTGACAAAAAAAAATCTTGAAAAATGCTAAAAAATCTAAATGAAAGAAGAAAAAAAGATGTATAAAATGTTAAAGCTCTGCACTTCAAGCTGAAACGCCTCCGGCCGCCAGCCTCTACGTCCACCGTCTGAAAGGGGTGGGAATGGTGGATGCTGTATTTATTTTGTTGTTTGGCGTCCTGCTCAAAGCGGGCTCGCCGGACGCTGCGTTTCCACAGGCCCGGAAGGCTTTGGGCCCTCTGTATCAGCCTCACTCTCTCATCCTGCAGCAGCAGCGGGGAGAGGCACATTTCAAGAGGTACAAAGTCTTAAAAATAAAAAAAAATAAACTAGGAAATGGGGAAAAGGCTACCTTTTAGGACTTGAAGTCCTGCAGCACACAAGCAAAAATCACTATTGCCTGTTTCTGTAACTGCCTTGATCCGAGCTCAGACAGACCCAATAGCCGAGGACCTCCCAGTATCCTGTACTAACTGGAGAAACCTGACAGCGACGGGGTCTCCCCATGCTGCACCAGCGCCGAGAGGCTCTCTCTCTACAGCTCTGTTCTAAATACCAGTAGATATGTATTCACAGCACACACACACACACACACGTGTGTGTGTGTGTACTTTATATACTGTGAGTGGTATCACCTCCAGACTTGTTTGATCGTAACCTCTTCACCTTTTGTGTTTTAACGTCTGGTACAGCCGAAAAAGAAGCAATATGTGTTTTCCCCGCAAATAAGAGATGGACAGGAGCGAGTTTTGGGTTGGGGGGGTTGGGGTGTGAGCCGACGCTTGGCCGGTGGAGTTAGAGATATGCACGTTGTGGTTCTGAAGGCATCCCGCACAGGTGGGTGTTTGGATTCACCCGTTCTAACCCCAAACACCCAGTGTGATGCAGATTCGACTCGCATCACAGACATATCAAAACAGCGAAAACATTTATTTATCAAAATACTTGAATCTTGGAGCGCCAATAACATAATGTGAAGTCAGTAATGTGCTCTGTCCATCTGGCAGGAACACATATGGAGAATTTCAGATATGTATTGCATTAATTTACAAATCTAAAATATTAAAAACAAGAAAAAAAATCCTCTCAGATGTTTGTATGAGTGTGTGCTGAAGAAACTGTACAGGACGCGTGGCCTGCTGTCCGTTTTTGTTTCCAGCGTTGCACTGAGTGTCTTCTCCCCCTCACTCCGCTAATCCCAGTTCACGTTCGGAGGGGCGATGGTGACAATTCACGTGTACATGTTTACTCAAGGACTTTAAGTTAGTGGTTTTTATCCCCCCCCCCCCCCCCCCCGGTCCGTCTGTACAAAGTTTATCTACCTTATAGTGGCTTTTATTGTGGAATAATCCAGGATGAGGATTATCATGGAGTATTGCACCGTTTTTGTTTCAACTAAATGAAAAATGTAGCAAAAAAAAACCCATAATAAAGATTAAAGTAAAAAAAAAATATTAAAAACTACAAAAAGGATAAAAAAAACAATGAACTGTGGCTATAGCTAGCTGTAGAAGGATTAGTAATCCTGACGTTAACGTGGGAGGGGGGAGGGGGGTGTTAAAGGGACGGCGTGCGGAAGGCGAGTTTGTTACGAGACTCAGTTCAGAGGTGCCTATCTTGTTTCTGTCTTTGTTTTGCAAAAGCCTCCTGTCGTTTACAAGCATTTCATTCATCAGAAGCTCAAGCAAACAGGACTCTGGAACCGGAATGTTCTCTCACCACTTCCATCTTCCATGGGATTATGGACATGAAGATTTATGCTACTTTCAGAACTCTGGGATTGATCAGTGTTGTCAGATTTACGATGTTCTCTGTGTGTGTGTGTGTCTGTGTGTGTGTGTGTGTGTGTGTGTGTGTGTGTGTGTGTGTGTGTGTGTGTGTCTTTGATGTTTCCTGTAAAACTGCGACGCAGTCCGCTCACTATCTTGCACACTCGTAAAAGACGTGGATTATGACTCAGGAAGGCCAGGGTTCCAGACCTCATCACTTCTAGTTTAGCGTGATATCCTAAAAATGAATAAACGATGACATCAAAGGAAGTGAAAACTATTCAGTTTCAAGCAATCACTGAAGTTTGTGGGTTGGCGGAATAGAGAAGACCCTTTTTTAATGAATTAGTAGGACGTTACAAGTTTACCAAATAAGAATCGATTTTGAGAAAAGCGGAGCGCTTTATGTGTTTAAATCGGAGTAGAAGTCGCTTTACGTCAAAAACAAGGATCAGTGGTTTGTTTTTAAGAGAAAAGGCTTTTTTTCTTTTTTTTACTCTTGAGTTCTGACTTGTTTAAGTTCAGGAGCGTTGTGCAAGAGTTTAATTTAACCCCCTCTCCTGCGTGCTCCTGCATGGCGGGGTTCCCGTGGCTAACGGGGGCTTTGGCGGGCGAGGAGGCAGGAAGCTGGTTTTTAAAGGATCGTGATCTATGCACAAGTGGGAGGGACGAGTTTGGGGATCGGGATCGATGTAGGGGTTTTTGTTCTTTTGTCTTTCGTCCCCCACCCTCATCTTCATCTTTCCATTGCGAGGCCATGCTGTGTAAACCTTAACCAATGAGCGCTTATCCTTCTGCTAAAGCACTGTGGGCTGTCTGAGAGCAGAGCCCACGACTTCAGGCTGGCTGTTTGTTTTTTCTAAAGGATGGAAGGAGGGTGGGGGGGTCAGGGGGTGGGGTACATTGCCTTTGCCTTCCTCTTCACTTTGAAAAAAAAAAAACAAGCATTAATGAAAAATGTCTGTAAATGAAATGCAAAGTTGTGGCTTTTAATGTTCTTTTATTTCTCCTCATAGAATGTGATTGTTCAAAAAACCTGCATTGGAAAAAATGTTTCCATGAGTTATGGAGCTTCTTTCTTCAGACTATATTAATAAACTACACATTTTCTTGTCTCTCGCTGGTCATTCATGGGTTTCTGGATTGCTGCGAATATTTCTGTGGGACTTTTTGGGGAAAGTGCAAAGAAAGGAGCCACATCGACGCCTGCAGCCCCCACCACACACATCACCCATGCTGCTCTTCTATCTTTGGTTTCCTCTCACAGCCTCGAGATTTGCCATTTCTCAGCTTTTTATTCTCTTGCAGCGAGACTCGATGACAAGGACGTAATTTTCACTTTAGAAGTGGGGGGGACACGGGGGGGGGGGGGGGTATCTTTACAGTATGTTCTAATGGGAAACAGGCTTCAACACAAACAGTTGTTTTCCGCTTGGTCCTAGAGCTCAACCAGTGTCCGTTTAATATAGCGTAATATTGTTTTGGGATGGTAAAAAGTGCAGGGGTCAAAAATTGACTTTGGAAAAAGTGGGGGGGACATGTCCCCCCTGTCCCCCCCCCCAAATTACGTCCATGCTCAATGGTGCCCCTAAGTGAGGGCCATTGCAAAAGCCAGTGTTGATGTTCTCTCTAACCATAAATTTAGACATAATTGTCAAACAAAATAAAAATAATACAATTAATGAGTAAAGTAATGATCAGAATAAAAAAAATACACGTTTCTGCTGCTCACCATTTTAAAAAAGTATCTCCGTAGTTTGTGGGAACCCAGCTACAGGTGAGTCCAACTAAAAAAATACATTCGAAATTACATTTTATATAACTGAAATGTATTTTTCTTTAATGTTTGTAAAATTTAAGCTCAATGTTTTGGATACAGTTTTTTTATAAAGACAAAGAAAGGAGCGATGCAAAACATCTCCACAGGCTCAACTCTCCCAGAGTTACCACAAGGACCAGTTTGGTGTGCCACCCCAAAAATGTCTTTGACCCTGTCTGGCCACCCTCATCAAAGATTTCTGGAGGCGCTCCTGGAGACTTCGACCCTTTAGTTTCTTAAGAAAATTAGTTTAAGACAATAAGAGTTATCAGTTTGTCTTCTACATCATTTTACAAGGTAAACGTTGCATTTTACTTCATTTAAACAGCCCGTGTTTCTCGGCTCCTGCAGGACGGGACCTGCTGAGAAGGGAACTCATGCAGGTTATTTGGAGCCGGGGAACAACTAAAAGCTGCAGGATGCTGGTCCCAGAGGCCCAGCTTCAGACGACATCGGTTTTATTCATCTATATCTAAGAACAAAGAAACGCTGAGGTAGAGCTCTGCAGAAGCTGCTGCATCATCACGGTCTCTCTAGTGGCTTGTTTCTGATGTTTGGTGCTCTAGTTTATTATAAATTACTAAAGTTTCCAGATGGACCTAAAGCTTCTGTTTCAGCAGGTCTTGATGTCAAAATGACTGAAACTAAATTGCCAACGATGTTGTTGCAAATACTGCTTCCAAATCAGGAACCCGTAGATGACTCAAGCAGAAAGGAGGGCAGGACTTTTTCAGGAACACTCATCTAAACCACTGACACCAGCAGGGTCACTGAAACTAACAACACGTGATGTGACAACTGCAAGCAGCCACAAATACCCCGTGAGACGGGGTGTCAGGGGGAGGAGCTGCCCCTGAAATACCAGGAACCAGTGTGTGTGGTGTTTCTGTGTTTTCATGTTGGCTAGAATCAGATCTGTACATGAGCTGGACTCAGAAGTTACACCTCTTTACTTAGTATCCCCGTTACACAATCATCTAATCAGTAGCACAGCAGCAGCTCGGTCTTTCTAGGTGTTTAGACATCAGAATGGAGAAGAATGTGAATTTAAGAGCATCAGAGCATGACTCTCTGGTCTGAGCATCTCCCAGCCTGTTCCTGACTTCAGTCTGAAAAGAGAAATTACCCAGTGAGCAGCAGCTGTGTGGATCAAAATCAGAGGAGATTGGTCTGACTGGTTCCAGGTGATAGAGCAGAAGCTCGTATGAGCACTGGTTCACCTCTGGTTCTGGTGGGGCGGAGACGGTGTGCACTAAAAGCAACGCAAGAAGGCCATGATGGAAGAAATGTTTCTAGTCAAGACTCCGTTTTAGGGGCTGTTTGTGCTTGTGTAAATAAGCAGCAGCAGGCAAGATGGGTGTGTTTGGAGGACTTGGTCAGAAGCCGAGCACAGGCGTTCTGAACCACCTGTAGACGGTTCAGGGAGGTTCTGCTCAGACACGTGAAAAGAGAGTTACAGTAGTCTAAGCGTGAGGAGATGAAGGTGTGGAGAACTGTCTCAAGTTCAGAGCGGGACAGAATGGGACTCAGCTTAGCAACGTTCCTGAGATGGAAGAAGGAAGAGCGAACAAGAGAACTGACATGAGAATCCAGGGTGAGAGCTGGGTCAAAGGTCACACCAAGATTCCTGACGGAGGGTTTGGTGTGAGAAGCAAGCTGACCAAGAGAGTCTCTGGCTTTGGGAACCAGCTTGTCTGGTGCACAGATGAGGATCTCAGTCTTATCTTCATTCAGCTGAAGAAAGCTCCCACCATCCAGGTTTTGATAGAGTCTAAGCAGGTGTGTAACAGCTGCAGCTTAGACATCTCATGGGGCTTAAAGGAGATGTACAGTTGGATGTCATCTGCATAAAGATGGTAGGAGATTCCTTTGAAGGAGCTCGGGATGTGCTGAAGAGGAAGCAGATAGAGGAGGAAAAGTAGAGGTCCCAGCACAGAACCTTGTGGGACACCATGGGTAAGGGAGGTGGTGGAGGACCTAAATTAGATGGCCACAGAAAAGGAGCGCTCAGAGAGATAAGAGGAGAACCACTCCAGAGCAGATCTTGATAGGCCTACCCAGTCTCTGAGCCAAGACGAGAGAACTGACATGAGAATCCAGGGTGAGAGCTGGGTCAAAGGTCACGCCAAGATTCCTGACGGAGCTGGCTCAAGTGGCTGGGGAGAGGGAAGTCTGAGCATCCCGGGCTTAGGCTGCTGCCCCCGTGACCCGACTCCGGATAAGCGGCTAAAAATGGATTGTTGGCTCTTCTAATTGAATATATCTTTTTTTTTAAAATCATCGTCTTAAGTTTAAATACACAAATCAATCTCAAAATCACAAGTCAGTGAAAATCATTTATATAAAGAATAAAAGACAAATCGAAACAAGTTCACTCAAATTTAATATAATTTGCGGATGATAAATAAAGTTGTTCTGAACCATGGACGTAATTTTGGGGGGGACAGGGGGGACATGTCCCCCCCCCCCCCACTTTTTCCAAAGTCAAGTTTTGACCCCTGCACTTTTTACCATCCAAAAACAATATTACGCAATATTACACTGACACTGGTTGAGCTCTAAGACCAAGTAGAAAACAACCGTTTGTGTTGAAGCCTGTTTCCCATTAGAGCATACTGTAAAGATACCCCCCCCCCCCCCCCTTCTAAAGCGAAAATGACGTCCATGCTCTGAACTTCAGGAATCGTGTTAATGTTCAGTTTCAGCTTCAGTGTATTTCTAACCATCTCAGTGATCCAGTACTGGGATTTAAACCAACACAGGCCTGATGAAAGATAGAAAAATAGTTCTTAGGAAAATAGATGTTTATACAAATATTCAACTGGAAAATAAAAATATGCCACGATTTTCTAATCCACTTCATGAAATAGTAGCGATGTTAAACATTCATGTGTGACAGTTGGTGCGGAGGAGTCCTCCACGGGGGCTTTCGTAATGGTTTTCAGAGGTGGCCTTCCTCCGCTGGCCGTTGCTGTACTCAGCTGACTCCGCTTCCTCCAAACGCAGCGAGGCCAGTTTTCCACAGGGAGACTGCACCCCGACCATCTCCTCGTAGACCGGCGGCGGAGGCTGCATCTTTGCACCACTGCGAGCTTTTACCTGGTAGCCACCACGGCAAATCAGACGAGAGAGCAGAGTTAACACTCGCTCTCAGTGAGAAAATCAAAGTTTGTCATTTTGTTTCCTCCCCAGACAACGTCTTCTAACACGAGTCCTCCCTCTAAATAAAAATCTAAACTCCAGTATGGCTGCTGAGATAAAAGCATCGGTTATTATTGAGAGCATGAGGACTTTACAAAAAAGTAGAACAGCCATGGACCAAACTTTTCAGAAAACATGCCGAAAACTCGCAGCAGAACTTGTGAAACTGGTGGTTTTTGTGGTGAGCTGGAGAGGAACTCTGCAGCACGCTCTCAGCAAGCAGGTGCTGCTTTGCAGTAGCTGATTAGTTACTGCTCCCTCCTGTTCTAGAGCAGGGTCAAAGCCGCCACCTGAGGGGGGACACTCACTTTGGACATGAGGACAAATCCAACGAGGAGCAGGAGGAGAGCGCCCACAGCAGCAGACAGAGCGTACAGGAGGGCGGAGGAGTTGGAGCAGCCACACTCCTCGCCTGCAGACACACAGGGAAGAAGATTTCCTGAGATTAAAAAAAAAACAAGATGTGAAAACAAAAGGAGTGAATGACAGCAATTGGTGAAAAGCAGAAACCGCTCACTTCCTTCCCTCTTTCAGGCTGCTAGAATAAATTGTTATTTTGAAGGAACAATGGCTTCATTAACAGGCGAGGATTTAAAAAATGACAAAAACGTGATCAGGAGATGGAAGGAGACTCAAGACCGTGTGCAGAACGGATGACCTTCAAAGCACTCTGGGTAGATTTTAGTAGCCTGAGCATCCAGACGTTCCATGTTACCCACTGTGATGATGTCATACAGAAGATGTTCAATACTTTAAGGAACTCTATTAGCCTTCAGAGTACTGGCAGCTCTTCTGTGGAGGACAGCTGTCCCACCCATTTCACGCTACTGAAGTAACTCCTCTAATGAGGACACTTCTGAGAGATCACATGTAGGTGGTGGGGCTTTGGGAACGTTTGCTTTTTTTTCAAAGGAAAATGGTGTCTGTTATTGCAAGCACAATTTAAGGGGAAAGTAAGTCAATTTATCTATAAGACACCTTTCACAAAGCAAAGCTCTGTATAACATAGATAACAATTTAGTTAAAGGTGCATTATGTAAGAATTACACCCTGTGGTCAAACTTGGTTACTGCAGCCTGTTTTCAAAACATGGGGCGCGGTGTCGGTACAGGATCTGCTCGGGTGCAAGATCGGCTCGGGGTCCTTCGACTGCCGATGACGTCAAAATAGTTGATTGGCTGAACATGAACCTTACGGAAGTTACATAATCACGTTACGTTGTTATCACGTTACGTTGGTCCAGGCAAATCTTTCTGTTGGAAAGATGGACAACTTTTACAAAGAAATCCATCATTACCTCAATGAAAATACACTTTTAGCATAGAGCTGCATGTATATTAGGGCTGAACGATTAATTTCATGTGCAATTAAATTGCGATGTGACAAAAGGAGATTTTCTAATCGCAAAGGCTGCAATTTGGCAGCGAGTGGTTAGCGCAATGCTAATATACATGGAAAAACCCATAGGAATAATAATGCTAATATCACTGATTACATTCTTACAAATTATGAATTAGAAACGTGCCAAATGATTACATTTGGAGTCTAATAGAAAATAAAAATACCAATCAAATAAGTACAGACAGGTATTTTAGTAAAGCCAGAAAACTTTTAACTCCGGAGTTTTGGCTAGCAGCTATGAGCGTAACTGAACTACGCATGGACAAGACGTCAAAAACTCTAAACACAAAATACTTCAATAAACGGGACACACTTCTTTCCTGCAAATACAATTTCACAGGTGTTGCTAATACCTATGATACTTCAAGGGATGTGCTCAAAGAGGAGTTCAACATCATGAATAAAATATAGTGTTTTATTTTACAAATACCATTATAAACACAAACTTACGTCGTAAGAAACATTATTTTAATAACGAAACTGCTAAATTCTTTCCAACAGTATAAAGATGTGTAGTGTATTTTGTCCGAGTGGGTTTGCCGTACTTTGACGTCATCGGCAGTCGAAGGACCCCGAGCCGATCTTGCACCCGACCAGATCCTGTACCGACACCGGACGGCACCAGGTGGTAGTGTGGTGTCGCCCCAGCAACGGCTTAGCCCCTCTGATGTCCAATTATAAATGAGCAGAGCAGTGGTGTAGCCAGAAACTCACTTGTAGGCGGGCTTGAGAAAAAAATGGATGGGCCCAATAAATGTAATTGAAAGCACAATAATTTCTATTTCAATGTGTTTTCTTTATTTTCATGACCATGAGCATTTACAAAGGGGCCAACAAGTGCTTAACACCTCTGGGAACACCTTCTAGACTGCTGGAAAACCATCTCAGGTGACCGCCTCTCGAAGCTCATCAAGAGAAGCCAATAGTGTGCAAAGCAGCAATCAGAACAAAGCATTTTGAATAAAATAGAATATAAAACATGCTTTCAGTTATTTCACCTTTTTTAGTTAAGTACATAACTCCACATGTGTTCATTTATAGTTTTGATGCCTTCAGTGAGATATAAGAAACCTCAAATGGCTTCCTTAAAAAATTATATTTACATATAATTTTTTAAGGAAACCATCTGAGTGGGTTGGCCCTTGGTAAAAAAGTGGTTGGGCGTGAAATCTGCTTCAATTAAATCTTTTTTTTGAAAATGGTTCAGAAATTAGACAGTTAAAATTATTACATATTGTACCTTTAAAAAGTGTGTGTGTGTGTGTGTGTGGGGGGGGGGGCATGAAATCAAGAGTTTTCAGTGCATTTTTATATTCATTGAGTTAATTAGTTGAAGTAAATGAATTGGCCTGCCAGCTGCTGTTGACTTTTAAGAGTTTTCAGTAAAAAAAAAAAAAGTCTACAGTGACGTAGAAGTTTCACTCATTCTTCCGACTATCTGGTTTTTCTTTGGAAATGAATGATCTGCACCAAAGTTCCCCACAGGGCAGACACAGAGTAACTAAAACATTCTTTTTCAGAGTCAGAACTTTCATTACATCCTGAACAAATTGGTGATGATGTCACTGGTGAGGGAGACCTAATGAACTGTTTTGCAACACTCTGTTATTTGGTGTTATCGGCACACAACCACAAGCATTAGTAGATAAAAGGAGAAGCAACTGCTGAAGTGTGGCTTTTGTGTTGGTTTGTTCTGCTTGCAAACCAGCATTTCACCCTTACTGCAGCGGTTGACACCAAATAGACAGAGGAAACAGACTCGTGCTAATCAAGCCTTCGTTTCCTCAAAGTCTCACCAGACTTCTGGTGATCAGCCCCCTCCATAGTGTGACCCACCTTGCACAGAAACAAAGAACGTTCTTCTCTCCAGATGGGTGCTGCGGTCGGGCCTGCCATGCAGGAGCAGCTGGCAACTGTAGAGGGCGCTGTCCTCCACCTGGAGCTGCTGCAGGGTCACGTTGTAGGTGATGCCATGCGGGCTGGGAGCCGAGGACAGCTGGACCCTCTCAGCAGGAAAATGGTTGCTGCTGTGGTGCTGCTTGGAGTGGTACACCACCTCCACAGGCGTTCGGCCCTTTTGCCTCTTCAGACTCAGCCCCTCCACGGCCAAGCCTTCCCCATTCGGGGTGTGACAGGGAAGCACCGCTGAGCCCCCAACACAGGTTTGTACCAACTCCACGTCCACCGAGACATCTCCAGAGGGCAGAGAGAATAAGATCAATGTCATCATTTGGAGTGTCATTGGTTTGTTTTTAAGTCAGGCTACACTGCCTGGCCCAAAAAATGTCATCACTTGGACGTAATTGAGCAAACAGGTGAAAGCCTCCTATTGGATAATTACTGCCATGACGATTATCTTTAAGATCAACATTTAACCCCAAAGAGAGTAGCTTCTAATTTCTCAAATAACCACGTCAAAAACCCACCCAGTGGTCACGGACTGTTTCAGAGCAGGGTCAGAACATCGGCATCAAGCAGAGAAAGCATTTCAGAAACCCGCAGAAACTACTGGAATAGGGTTGAGAAATGTCCAAGACATTATTAAAAGGTGGGGGAAAAAGTGGGAGACCATCATCAGATGGAAAGGGTGGTCAGAAAGGGTCGGCAGGAAGAACGAGGTCAGCTGAATGACCAGGTTTTTCCAGCAATGGGTGTTTTCTTCCCTGGTGTGCATGTTCCAGGATTCATCCGGCTCAGATAGTGAAACTGTGGCTCAGAGAGCATGAGACGTCACTTTCACACATGGATCAACCACCGAGGAGTCCGGACTTTAACCCCTCTGAGGATCTTGGTGGGACTATCCCATCTTCAGTGAACATTAAAGAGATGTTGCAGGAGCTTTAAAAACGACGCCGAGGGCAACGTGTGCCAATTTCAGAGCTAAAGGCAAATCCATGAAATATTACAGTGTGTGTGACCATTTTTTGTGGCCAGGCAGTTCATAAAAAAGATGTATTCTGCAAAATACCACAAAATCAACAGATCACTAAAATACTAGGCACAAACTGCAGGATATTATGATGGTTGCATCTTCAAAAAGCTGGAACCTCCTACAGACTTTGTTCTGCAGACTTTTGCATCAATTTCACGTCACAGTAATTTAAATGAAATTCACTTCACCAGCAGCAGCAACATTTCTGCAGGAGTCAGTTCAAGCATGCAGCTAAAATGGCTTTTGAATGTGAAACTAATGGACGTGAAAAACTATGAAACATCACGTGTGCAAAATAATTTGGGGGACTAGAGCTGATCTGAGACCGCATTTAACTCTGGAAACGAGTCCACTAGTTTGTCACCGTGGTTTAAGTGAACCCACCCTTATATGTTCCTGCTTTAATCTTTCAAATTCCACAGCTATATAAGATGTTATTAACAATTATTGCTGTGAAAGTTGAATTAAAAATGTTTATTTTACCCATTTGTCCATTAAACTTTGGTTTTAGCATCTTCAGAACGAACCTATCTATAGTGAGGACGGTGTGCTGCTGACCTCTACTCAGGACGTTGTGGATCGGTGGGCAGAATACTTGGAAGACCTCCTCAATCCCACCGACACGTCTTCCAGTGAGGAAGCAGAGTCTGGGGACGTTGGGGTGGCCTCTCAGATCTCTGGTGCTGAGGTCACTGAGGTGGTTAAAAAGCTCCTCTGTGGCAAGGCTCCGGGGGTGGATGAGATCCGCCTGGAGTTCCTTAAGGCTCTGGATGTCGTGGGGCTGCGTTGGCTGATGCAGCTCTGCAATATCACGTGGACATCAGGGGCGGTCCCACTGGACTGGCAGACCGGGGTGGTGGTCCCCTTATTTAAAAAGGGGGACCGCAGGGTGTGTTCCAACTACAGGGGGATCACACTCCTGAGCCTTCCTGGTAAGGTCTATTCAGGGGTTCTGGAGAGGAGGGTCCGTCGGATTGTTGAACCTCAGATTCAGGAGGAGCAATGTGGTTTTCATCCTGGTCGTGGAACACTGGACCAGCTCTATACCCTTAGGGGGATCCTGGAGGGTGCGTGGGAGTTCGCCCAACCAGTCTACATGTGTTTTGGGGATTTGGAGAAGGCGTTTGACCGCGTCCCTCGGGGAGCCCTGTGGGGGGTACTTCGGGAGTATGGGTTACCAGGCCCTCTGATACAGGCTGTTAGGTGCCTGTATGACCGGTGTCAGAGCTTGGTCCGCATTGCCGGCAGTAAGTCGGGCTCCTTCTCAGTGAGAGTTGGACTCCGCCAAGGCTGCCCTTTGTCACCGATTCTGTTCATAACCTTCATGGACAGAATTTCTAGGTGCAGCCAAGATGTGGAGGGCATCCGTTTTGGTGCCCTGAGGATCAGGTCTCTGCTTTTTGCAGATGATGTGGTCCTGTTGGCTTCATCAGAACGTGATCTTCAGCTTTCGCTGGAGCGGTTCGCAGCCGAGTGTGAAGCGGCTGGGATGAGAATCAGCTCCTAGAAATCCAAGCCTGTGGTTTTGAGTTGGAAAAGGGTAGAATACCTTCTCCGGGTCAGGGATGAGGTCCTGCCCCAAGTGGAGGAGTTTAAGTATCTCGGGGTCTTGTTCACGAGTGAGGGAAAACTGGAGCGTGAGATCGATAGGCGGATTGGTGCTGCATCTGCAGTGATGCGGGCGTTGTACCGGTCTGTCGTGGTGAAGAGAGAGCTGAGTCAGAAGGCGAAGGTCTAGATGTACCGGTCGATCTACGTTCCTACCCTCACCTATGGTTATGAGCTTTGGGTAGTGACCGAACGAACGAGATCGCAGATACAAGCGGCCGAAATGAGTTTTCTCCGAAGAGAGGCTGGGCTCTCCCTTAGCGATAGGGTGAGAAGCTCGGTCATTCGGGAGGGGCTCGGAGTAGACCCGCTGCTCCTCCACATCGAGAGGAGCAAGTTGAGGTGGCTCAGGCATCTGGTCAGGATGCCTCCTGGACGCCTCCCTGGTGAGGTTTTCCAGGCACGTCCAACCAGGAGGAGACCAAAAGGTAGACCCAGGACACGGTGGAGGGACTATGTCCCTCACCTGGCCAGGGAACGCCTTGGGATTCCCCCGGAGGAGCTGGCCCAAGTGGCTGGGGAGAGGGAAGTCTGGGCGTCTGGACTTAGGCTACTGCCCCTGCGACCCGACTCCGGATAAACGGATGAAAATGGATGAATGGAGAATGAACCTTTGGCCCGACATGAATCATCTAGTAACTAGGTTATGCAAAGAGCTGGTGCAGCCCTTAATATTGACACATGTGGCTACAAAGAGCAACATCAGCGAGGAATGAGGAAACCAAATACAAGTTCACACCGCCTCCGCACCACCACCACACCTCCGTCGCACCGGCTCAAATAAAGATAAAATGCTAATTTTTTTTATTTGAAAGAACAAAGTTTTTTTTGTAGAGAATCAACAGAGAAATGGTTCCATGTAGGAGAATTTAGATGAAATGGCGTTCAGCTCCTGCTGCTGTTCTTATGCGTGGCTTTATAAAAACAAATTCACATTCTAAACCTCGTCATGCCCTTGTGCTGTTGTTTTGTTTGTAATCTGTACGTTTTCGCGTTTTATGACTTTATTGTTGATCCTTTGTGAATCATTTCCTGTAAGAATAAAGGTGAGAAACAAAACACATCAAATTTCCCTGAATTTGTTGGTTTCCTTCTTTTCTTGTTACCTGATGATAATTTCAGTTCATTCTCGCAACAAGAACCAGATCTTTGATTGGTGATGCCTTCTTTATTCACCCAGGGATCAAGAATGGTGGTTAAATGTGAGGTTTTGTGTTTGTGGTTCAATCTGGTATAACCTGCAAACCACAAACTGGCTAATCTGGATTATAATCCTCAGAACTGTTACAGCTATAAAGTCCACACAAACAGAACTGTCTCTAACTCTCTCTTAGCTACAACAGGGATTATATCTGTGGGGTGAACAAAATGATACTCACCATCAGATGAAACATAGAGAAAGAATTCAGTCCTTCCTGGGATCTTCTCATCCTCCTTTCCATTTCTCTCCACCATAAACTCGCAGGAGTACCGGTCGGTGTCTGCAGCTTTCAGCTGGGAGAAGCTCACGTTAACGGCATGGCTGCTCGGGTCTCCGCTGATGCTCAGGCGGCCTTTGTCTGCTGCATCTTTCACGTCCGGAGGATCGTTCTGGTACCAGAAGAACACTGTGCGGGGCTGAAGCCAGGTGCGTTTCAGATAGAAACCGTAGGGCAGCGGGCTCCCGGGCTCCATGTGGCAGGAAAACTCCACAGACTCGCCCTGCTGCCGCTCCAGATGCAAAAAGCTGCCGCTAACACCTGGGGGAGACAAAATTTGGTGCAAGCTAGCAGATAACAAGTAACATATTTAAGCATAACACTTGCTAATCGTCTGGGTCTGCACGGTTTGGGTAATTGTTTCTATTGAAATTGAGAAACGGCTCGTAGCGAGGGCTCGTCATAGCGGGGGTGACTCGAAACAGAAGTAGCGTAAGGTGATCTGTATGACACAAAAACACCACACTGCAACGGCGGACATGGTCTGCTCAGTCGATGGCTTTTTGTCAGACTCTTGGAAGAGACCTGGAAAAGGCCGCAAGCAGCGGTGCGGAAAGCAAGAGCAACGATAGGCTCCACCCCCTGACAAGCCAGTGACCAACGGTCTCAGACTTCAGTTTTCTGGCCCGGCATGGAACCACATCATAGCAGGCACTGAAAACGGAGGCAGCAACCACAATCCCATGGTCGTTGACACGAGCCAAGCTGCACTGAGTTAGGCCCAATGGTGTCGGTTTAGCCAGAGACATCGAAGACACCAGAGACACCGGAGACACCGGAGACATGTCTCCACCAGAATTTATAATTAACTACTTTTAAAAACCGGATGAAGTCATCTTTACCGGTGTAGAGCTAAACCAGTCATTTCCTTCCATACATCAGGAATCTGAAGTGGCTGTTATTTAAATCTTTACATTCTAATACCCTAAAGACTGCACCCAACTTTTAGTTAACACATTTCTGTTTTATTTAATTAATAACACTTTAACTGAATACAACTAAAACTGAAATAAATGTATTTATTTTAATTTCCAACATGACAGAAAGAAGCAATCCTAAACAGCTTTAGCTAGCCTACTTAAGTCTTCCTGATCAAATCGGGTCATTTCTGGTTAGTTTTACTTGCTACCTCAGTCTGACCGGAGAACCCTGAGAAAACCCAAACATGCACGCATGGACGTAATTTTCACTTTAGATGTGGGGGGTGGGGGGGTTGTGGACACGGGGATGGGGTATCTTTACAGTATGCTCTAATGGGAAACAGGCTTCAACACAAACGTTTCTACTTGGTCCTAGAGCTCAACCAGTGTCAATTAAATATAAAGTAATATTGCTTTTGGATGGTAAAAAGTGCAGGGGTCAAAACTTGACTTTGGAAAAAGTGGGGGGGACATGTGCCCCCTGTCCCCCCCCCAAAAAAAAAATTACGTCCATGCATGCACGGACTGACCGACATTGCAACACATGTCCACTCCCCATCTGAACCAGCTGGGGATCGAACCGGCAACCCTCGCTCCACCGCCCTGAAGGCAGTGACTCTGCTGGGCTATCACTAATTATGGTTTTTGATTAAACTAGCAGATTGTGTGTGTGTGTGTGTGTGTGTGTGTGTGTGTGTGTGTGTGTGTGTGTGTGTGTGTGTGTGTGTGTGTGTTACTACAGAACAGAAGTAAATGTACAGACATTTAAATAAAGATGAAATAGAACATATTTTAGGCAGCGCCGGGGAGAAATCTGGTTTTTACTTTTAGACAAAAACATGATTTCATTTTTAACTTGTGGCCAAAAACGGACGAAAGAAAATCCAAACTACCGCTGAGCCTTGCTGCTCACTCCTACGGCTCACCCCACATAACCTCATGCACCTTTAGGCACAACGCACTGAAACAAGGAGCCGACCACCACCCAGAACAGAACCCAACTTACCAAACCCAGTCTGTGTGATGACCACAGTCCACAGGTACACCAGGTACCGGATCCTCTTCATTTTTATCACCAATACCAAACACTAAAACGGATCCTGAGAGAAGTAGGCGATGTCTACCATGACAGCAGAGATGGAGACACTCGAGACTAAAACGTCAGAAGCTTGGAGAGCTGCAAGTGAAACCAGGAGGAACCCCCACAAAGCTCCACCTTCAAACCTCAAGACCTCTGCAAGAGGAAGCATGCAGTCAGCAGGCGTACGTTTGTTAGATTAGCAGCTCCGTTAAGGCATTAACAACAAAAACAGATTAGGATTAAAGGATCATTGTTCTCACAGAAGTTCATGAACATCCTGCGTATGTCGGTGATCTTTTATGTGTGTGTGTGGTCAGTCACAGCCAGACGTTACACTTGAGTTTGACTGGATTAAAAACAGAAACTGAGTAATTTGAGTGTTGCTTGTGAGAACTCAGCTGTGAACAGGATGTGTTCAGATGTGCTCTGCAGTGATAATTCACACAGCTCACCAGTGTGCTGAGTCTCTGGACATCTGAGCCGACATAGAATAAAAATGTGCTTTTTTTATTTGGAGGCACCGACCCACAGGCCTATATGCTCTTCGGTGTGTCCCGGGTAGCACTAATTCAGACATGAAATCAGCGCCTTCGTGTCTGTGGGGCTGCAACTTCTCCTAAATGAAGAAGAAACAGAAAAGGACTTAAAATAATAAACTAAATCAGATTTGTGTCTGCACCAGAGGAAATACTAGTCCAAGTGAGGCTTAATTCTGCACTTTATTTTACAATTCTGCTTTTCTTGGGGTCCACTTTGTTTGTTGGTTTTTCTTTTTCCCTTTCCTCACATATTTATTTTTGGTTTTTGTTCTTGTGAAGTGCCTCGTTTTTATTTTCACAGGCACTATAAGAGTTTCTTCTTCCTTAATTATCTTTACAAATTATTAAGTTGACTTAAATACAAAGAGAAATTTTTGAAACATAAAAAATATGTGTGAATATCAATATTGACAATTTATTGATATTGTACGTACTCATTGCAGTTGTTGTTTATTAAGATATTTAGGTTAAGCGTTAAAATAAGCAAATAGTTCCGGTTACTTGAAAAGTTTGAAATCATATAACTCACACTTTTCAAGTAACATGAACTATTTGTTTATTAAGTACACATCTTAAAATATTAATAAACAATAACTTAAATGAAATGAGTACATATAAATTATTAATATTAATTTGCATTTAAGTTGTTGTTTATTAATATTTTTATGTTATGTACTTAATAAACAAATAGTTCATGTTACTTGAAAAGTGTGAGTTATATGTACTCAAAAACAAGGAAATGTTAGACAAACTCAACAGATTTGAGTTCTGAAAACTTTTCTTAAAATATTGAGTTTCTACTCAATATAGTTGATCATTGCTATAGCAGTTTCCACCAGAAGCCCACCCATCTCGGTTCGTGACATGGTGTTTACAGACAAGTGTGTCAAAATATAGCGATGAGTAAAGTTTTACGCCTTTACTTCAAAACCAGCTGAATTGTTTTTGCTTGAGGCTTCATTTGGATTCAGTTTAATGTGAATAATTAGTCAAATTCCATTGGAAAAAAAGCCCAACCTACATTCACGGTTTACCAGAGCACGTCTCCTGTGAATAATAGTGTGAAAACCACAACCACTGGCTAGGAAACAAACAGCTGACATGCTTCCTGTTAACGTACAAAACACGTTATCAGATAGTAAAACACCAGAAGGTGATCTCAATCTTAGAAATGTAGTTCTGAGAAACACAACTCCTGGTTAGTGTTACTGACGTTAAATAATGAGTTCCTTCATCAAAACACCTGATCAACGTTCTCAGTTTTACATACACTTACATAGACAGGTCATGGGTTCGTCCACATGCTGGAACGACAGAATCTTTAGAAAGGGAACAGTAGGTGTTGTTTTCACCAATACGTTTGGCTGGGTGGCGCATTATGGACCTCCTCGTTTAAGTCGGTGGAGATCACCTTTGTGTAGGAGTCATCTGAGGTGGTTCTGGAAGGTCTGACCTGAATTGCAGCTCAGCAGAGCTGAATTTATTTAGGTGTGTGTGTTTGTGCCACGAGCGGTGTTGTACCATTTTCTGCAACTATCTGATTCTGTGACTCTAGAGTGGAGCTTGAGGAAGAGCAGCCAGGCCACTTATATATATATATAACTATATATATATAGTTTTATATATATATATATATATATATATATATATATATATATATATATATATATATATATATATATATATATATATATATATATATATATATATATATAATGTATATATATATATATATATAGTTATATATATATATATACATTATATATATATAACTATATATATATAGTTTTATATATATATATATATATATATATATATATAACTATATATATATAGTTTTATATATATATATATATAACTATATATATATATATATATAATGTATATATATATATATACAGTATATATATATATATATATATATATATATATATATATATATACAGTATATATATATATATATACTGTATGTATGTATATATATATATATATATATATATATATACTGTATATATATATATATACAGTATATATATATATATATACTGTATATATATATATATATATATATATATATATATATATATATATATATATATATATATATACAAGAAATGTAGAAAGAAAGGGACATTTTGAAATCTTCCTACATGCATTGATAGTTATGCAAACCCTGTCAGTAGCAGAGGGACCTGTAATAGCCTCAGCGTGCCACTAGATGGTACACCAGTGTCTGAGTACCAACAACACCCAAACAGGTGGTGTTCTGACTATCCGTGCTCCCCGTCGAAATGTGCTACTTTGGGGAAATGCGCAGCGCATGCGCAGGCCGATGATTGCATCACAGGCTGTTTACAAGTCGAGACGCGCTATCTGTGGAAGTTTAATCTCATCACTTATCTAGTTACTTTCAACTCGTCAAAGGCCACAGTAAGTATTTCTTTAAGTTGCTTTATTAAATTACTGCTTGCTGTTTGTTTACCTGACAGCTAGCTTGTAAATGGCTTCTAATGGGCCATTCCCATCTGTACCGGGTCGGCCCAGGTCAGGTAGTACCAGTCGGCCCCAGCCTGGCCCGGTTGATTCCACACATCCTTGCCTTAAGCCCATGTGGGCTGATTCTACCCACCAATCAGAGGCTTGCTCTAATGGAAGGTGTGAATTTGCTGTCAGCAGTGGGCGTGTTGGCCCTGGTCGGCCTGAAGCAGACCCCCTCGAGAAGAGGGCTGAGAATGAGCCTTGGTTGGCCCGGAAAAATACCAGGCCACCCAGATATGTAAACAACCTACGCTACCCGGCCCGGGCCGACCCGGTACAGATGGGAATGGGGCGAACTGGTGTTCCGACTATCCGTGCTCCTCGTCGAAATGTGCTACTTTGGGGAAATGCGCAGCGCATGCGCAGGCCGATGATTGCATCACAGGCTTTTTACAAGTCGAGACGCGCTATCTGTGGAAGTTTAATCTCATCACTTATCTAGTTACTTTCAACTCGTCAAAGGCCACAGTAAGTATTTCTTTAAGTTGTTTTATTAAATTACTGCTTGCTGTTTGTTTACCTGACAGCTAGCTTGTAAATGGCTTCTAAAATATCGTTATCATACTGTAAACAATAAATTTCTCCCATTGTTTACAGTCATTCTGAAAGAGTCCCAAATTAGTATCCAAAAGTTTTATAGATAATAAATTTATCATGTTGTATAATAATCTCCAAAATTATACATTCAAACAAATAACTGGGGAAAAGCATATTTGTTCTATGTGGATTAATTTGTCTAATAAAGGATTAGGTAGAGAAATAGAACGGTAAGAGCTAACGTCTTACAAATCTCCATTTTTATTAATCACTTTCTCGACATGGGTGAAAGTGGTTGGTAAATCGTCATTGTTCTGAGAATATTCACATTTTAGCAACTAAGGGGTAAATTTTTACGAAATGACTAAACTGCTTCTTACACTATCCACTTTTTTTTTCATAAAACAAATGAACAGTAGCTACCGATCTTCAGTAAACCTGGACAGACTGAATCAGCTGTTGAAATGCGCGTTGGCAGGAAAATTCGACGACGAAGCACGCATGGACGTAATTTTTTGGGGGGACAGGGGGGACATGTCCCCCCACTTTTTCCTAAGTCAAGTTTTGACCCCTGCACTTTTTACCATCCAAAAACAACACTTTATTAAATTGACACTGGTTGAGCTCTAGGACCAAGCGGAAAACAACCGTTTGTGTTGAAGCCTGTTTCCCATTAGAACATACTGTAAAGATACCCCCCCCCCCCCCCCCCCCGTGTCCCCCCCACTTTCAAACTGAAAATTATGTCCATGGAAGCACGGATAGTCCGAACACCGGCACCACATTTTCTGAATATTGGAAATGGAGACAAAAAAGACAGCTGGGAGAAAACTAATGTAACAACTTTTATTTTTAAAGTTTTAATCAACCTGATCGCTCAAATATCCCATTTTCTTATAGAACAGCATTTACTCACCTTATAAAGCATCAAACAGTTTATTTATCAGATCAGTCGAAGAAAACCAAAAACATTTCTAACCTTTAAATAGCATCCAGAAAAAAAACCCGCTTCTCCATCTCCACTGGCGTCTGTGTGGTTTTGTATATTTATACTGTGTACTTGTACTTTAACACAATTATTACACATAAAACTGATTTTTTTTATTAAATCGTGGATTTGGTCAGCTGGTCATTTAACACGATTGACAAGATTTTTTCATCATTGAGAACGGAGCAGGGGGCTCCTACTTGTCCAGATGGAACGCACCCGGTGGGGTAGATACTGGATTCCTGGAAGGAGTGGAGTCTTATATGCCTTTCCCAGCTGTCCGTGGAGGACATCGAAGACGTGTGGATTTTCAGCCTGATAATAACTGGATTTCTTCTGTTTGGAGTAGGAGGATTTCTGGTATTTTGGAAAATCGGGGTCGATTGGAGTGCAGCCCGTACCCATGGAAAGTCTCAGCCGTGTGGAGACCGCTCAGACTGGGACGTCACTCGAGGTGGCGAGATCTACAAACTAATGGAGTCAATCTGCTCTTCACTCCCTTGATTTCCCTCCCACCTTTGTTTTAACGGCGATGGATCGAACGCATGCCCAAAGGCTGCTGCTCTCTCTGGGGTAAACAGGGTACCAGCCTGGTTTAACCTTGCTATAATTCCTTTGTTTCTCTTGTAGTTTTAATAAAACGCACAAGCACTTGTCCACGTGAACACCTCTGGCTGTAGCTGCACTAACCGAAGCACTTCATCCACTCACAGCTGGGCCAGAGTCTCTTGTCAGAGGGGCAAGCTTTAATAAAGTTTACAACAGCTGT